GCCTGGCACATAATAGATAATAAATATGTGTTGAATGAATAAATGATCTCTATAAAAATTCAGAGATTAAATAGAAAGTCTATGCCCACAAGAGATTTGCCAGTGAGGAAATTAATTGCAAATAAAATAAATCTAGATAAAATTGGAGTTCTAGGTTTGATTTCATGGGGCCTAACGACTTTTTTTTTTTTCTGAAAAAAAAATTTATTTTAAATTCCAGTCTAGTGCCTTAATTCTGTTACCCTGTTACTAAGTATTCTTCCTAACTAGATCTCAGCCTGGTTCCTGAGCATATTCACAGAGTAATTCCTGACCCCTTGTACTCTTTGGGTGCAAATAACAGAAATCAACTCAAGCTAGCTTAAGTTAAAAGAGGAAATTGTACAAAAATCTAGGAACTGGTGTCTCATGGGACTCATAGGCAGGGATATAACTGAGTGTCAAGAAGGAATGGAACCAAAAAAGCTTCTGGGAACTAGATTTCTCGCTCTCTCTCTCTCTCTCTCTCTCTCTCCCCCCCTCTCCCTCCCTCCCTCCTTCCGACTTTCAGTTCTGTTTCTCTCTGACTGTTTCTTTCTCCAAGGTGAGTCTTTTCTCTCTCTAGACTGCATGACAGAAGATGGTCACCTATGAGTCTTGAATCTGCATGTTTTGCATCCATCCAAATTTATATTCCTGGAGGCACTCTGGTTGGCCTGGCTTAGATTAAACACCTGCCCTTATCCATTCAATGGCCTCTAGGAGAAAGGGATCAGAATGGACCACAGAATGGATCACCTTCACTGCTTGAAGTGAAGGGCCAGGGGGTGGCCCACCTTGAGTGGAGAAATGGCAGAACAGCCAGCAGGTGTCCACGACACCTAGCCCCTACCACACACTGACCCTTAACCTGTCACAGCCCTAACCTTAACCACAAACTGAGCAGCACATTAACCTTAATCTTGGCCCAGGAATTCCACTTACACTGATATTGTGAAACACACATAAATGAGAAAGTGAAGAGATCTTGCTTCACTTACTTTTGGGAAAATGTGGTTTTTACATAGTGAATTTTATTCGAAATCGTATTTATTTACTGTAAAATACTTGAGTAAAAACTAAAAGATTAAAGGAAAAAATCTAGTTCTTTCTAAACATTCTTAAAATCCTGGATATTTTCAAACAGTCCTAAGTAAAACACTGTATATAGAATAAAATTTCTGAATTTGGAGGTAAATATTTCTGCTTTGGTCCCTGTTGGTGGGGTCATGCTGACTTCTTTAGTCTCTGCACAGAATGTAATGTATTCTCATCAACCACTCCACGCACAGTAAAATTCAGAGTTTGGGGTTACAATCAAGACCTTACTTGGCCCCAGCCTCCCTGGGTCATGGAGTTTTTGGTACCTTCCATGTTCTCTCTTTAACAAGGGTCTATCTCAAGATTGGACTTATTTTCTTTGACCTCTATCAACTTCAGGGTAAATTACGTACCTTCTTGGGGTCCCTGCTACCTCTCAATCCCTTCTCCTTTTCCTTCTTCAGGAGTATCACAGTACATAAGATGTCCAGTGCCAGCCAAGATGCAATGAGCCAGCAACAGTCTATCTTCCCCACTGATTACAACCAAAACTTATGGACAAAATACAAAAAACCAAATATCTAAAATATACCAATTGTACACATGCATGGCAGACCCAAAGAAGTGTAGCAAAGGCTTTAAGAACTAAACTACCAAAGGCCCAGACTAAATTCAGAGCTGTGCATGTGACAGATTGACCCAAATACCATAGCAAAGATTTGAAAACTGAGCTGACATTGGAATCACCACCCACAAAAGGTGAGATACAACTTGTAGTTTGGACCTAAGCCAACTGATTACTTGCTAACACAAGCAAACAAAAAATCAACATTCTCTAGAGATTTTAACAGAACCCAGAATCTCCTAACATAATATTCAAAATGTTCTGGATACAATTCAGAATTACTGAATGCACAAAGAGCCAGAAAAATCTGACCAGTACTCAAGAGAAAAGGTAATCAACAGATGACCCCAGTTGGAATTACCAGACACAGACTTTATAACACCCATTATAACCATGAGGTAAAGATGAACATTCTTGAAATAAATAAGAGGATAAAGTTCTTAGCAGAGAAAGAAAAACAATTTTTTAAGCTAAATGGAAAATTTTAAACTAGAAGTTATAATATCTGAAATTCACAGTTCTACCAGATGTGGTCAATAGCAGAATGGAGATGACAGAGGAAAGAAAACCTGAAGATAGGTCAAGAGAAATTATACAGGGGCACCTGGGTGGCTCAGTTGGTTAAGCCTCTGCCTTTGGCTCAGGTTATGATCCCAGGGTGCTGGGATCGAGCCCCACATCAGGCTCCCTGTTTGGTGGGGAGCCTGCTTCTCCCTCTCCCTCTGCCCCTCCCCCTGCTTCCTCTCTCTCTCTTTCTCTCTCTGTCAAATAAATAAAATCTTTAAAAAAGAAAGAGAGAGAGAGAGAAATTATACAATAAGAAGAACAGCAAGGAAAAGATTGAAAAGAATTAATGTATCCTTAGGTGCTTGTCAATCTAACATTCACGTCATTGGAATCTCAGAAAAAGAGAAAGATTGAGTCAGAATATGTATTTGAAGAAATAATGGCAGAAAACATTCCATATTTGGTGAAAGGTATCTATTTACAGTTTCAAGAAGCTCAATGAATCCCAACAGGTTAAGTTAAAAAAAAAAAAAAAAACATACCCAGATATATCATAATCAAACTGTTTGATAATCAAACACATTAAAAGCACCTGGAAGCAAAAGATGATAAATTACACACAAGGGAAGCTATTACTACTTCTTATCAGGAACCTCGGTGCCCTGAAGACAATGAGAGAATATTTTTAAAGTGCTAGAAGAAAAATAAATAAATAAATAATCATAAAAAGTGCTGGAAGTGTGTGTGGCTGGCTCAGTTGGTAGAGCATGTGACTCTTGATCTTGAGGTTCAAGCTCCACGTTGGGTGTGGAAATTACTTAAAAATAGAAAGTGCTGGAAGGAAAGAACTGTCAACTCGGAATTCTGTAGCCAGCAAAAATATCCTTCAAGAATGTAGGCAGAATAAAGGTATTCTCAGATGAGGGAAAACTAAGAGAATTCATCACTTACAGAAAAGAAATGGCTCTAAGAGAAATGGCAAAGGAAGTTTTTTGGGTCGAGGGATAATTATACCAGAGGGAAAAAGAACTTTAGGAATGAAGAAAGAATAAAAGAAATGATGAATATCTAGATAAATAGGGTATTTGAGACCTCTTAAATTCTTCAAAATATGGAGGACTGTTGAAAGCCAAAATTATAACATTGTCTGTAATGTTTCAATGGATATAGATGTAGTATACACACCAACCACAACATAAAGGGATCAGGACATAGAACCCTATTTGATTATAAGGCATGTGTATCTTATTTGAAGTGGTAAAATATTAATTCTAAGTATACTGTGAAAAGTTAGGTATACACATTGTAATTCCTAGAGCAACTACTAAAAAATACCAAGACATAGCCAAAAACTCAATAAATAAATTAAGATAAAATACTATGAAATATTCAGGTAATAAAAAAGTTAGGAAAGAGAATAAAATAGCATATGATACATATACAAAGTACGTGTTAGTTGACTATGTTGTCATTAAGGCATTTGGTCTACAGTAGACAAGTTTTTGGAGAGTCAAAAGTTATACACAGATTTTTGACTATGTGGATGGTTGGTGCCCCAAAACCCCACACTGTTCAAGAGTCAACTCTATAGATAGAGATAAAGCAACACGATGGGAAAAGATATACCATGCAAACAGTAATCAAAAGAAAGCTGGAGTGCCTATATTACTTTCAGACAAAGTAGACTTCAGAATAGGGCAAATCACTGGAGGTAAAGAAAGACATTATATAATGATAAAAGAATAAACTCACTGAGAAGACATAATATTAAATGAGAATGCACTTAACAGGAGAACTCCAAAATACAGGAAGCAAAAGCTGGCGGAACTGAAGAGAAATAAAGAAATGCATAATTATATTTGAAGATATGATGGGACCGTGAAGATATCATGGGACCCTTACTCCTAAAATCTTGGCCACAGTTCCTCTCAGGAGGGGCTGTGCAGATTTGCTCTCTCTGTTTCCACAAAGAATTGGCCCTGCTCCAGAGAGCTTAAAGTGAGAGTGACCCCATGTCCAGTCCAGTGCTGTGAAGATCCCACCCTACCCAGATGTGGGCTGCGAGCATGACCAGATGTCCACTACTTGTTGAAATTTTAGAGAAAACCAACAGTAATCTTCAGCAATATCTTTCTGAGAAACCTAAGAAAATTCAAACATAACACTAAGAGTTCATGGTGGACAGGTGTTTTCACATTCGTCATCCACTCTCCCACTTCTGGTAACTGTGTTTTGAATTAGAGAAAATATCCTTTCTCCAGCTTGAGCCATAATCAACTTTAGTCAGTAAGTATAGTCCATCCTCCTGACGGAAGTAATTGGTCAGAGATGGGCATACAACCTAGTGAGAACCAGTGAGATGCAAGGATATACTTGCTGGGGCTTCTGGAAAAGAGAACTTCCACTCTCCTCCATGGGAACCACCGGAAAAGAGGATGTCTCTTTAGCCAGATGATATGGTGGGAGGATACCAGAGCTGGCAGGCTGCCAGTCAGTCTATTTGATATCGTGAGGAAAAGCCTAGCAGTATACTGTATAGAGCCTGAGTGTTAAGCCTACACTGCTGGAAGGACAGATAGAAAAAGGGTCTTTGATATCCCTTGAGCCTCTGGTTCAAGCCTTACCTAATGACAGAATAGCTGCTCTGGTAGTTTCCATCATGCAAGGGAATTCTTTTTTTTTTTTTCCTCTCAAGTGAGAGTTGGGTTTTCTGTCATTCATAACATAGAGTCCCAACATGCAATTTATCCCTTCAACCCTCTCTAAACCCTATGTCTTTCTCCAAAAAATGAAAACAAAAGGCATGTGATTCAAGTGCTTCTACTTTTAATGCTGAACAATATCTTTACTTGTAGAAAATGATGATGTGCAAACACTGTAAAAGACGAAGCTTAGTATGTAGAAATAATAATCACTTAATGATGAGCAATACACAAAAGGGAATAATTCAGAATTTAAAACTGAGAGCAAAGGAAAAAAGTTTCCCATTTCTGTTTATACAGAATGCTATTAATTCTGCTTTTGCTAAAAACTTTGAAAAGCGTTACTCAAGCTATTGTCTCCTGGGAGGATATTTACCATCATCAACCACCTATACTTCTTTATTTTTTGTTAGAAATGTTTGACAACTAAAAATTGTATATATTTACATGTACAATGTGCTGGTTTGCTGTAGATAAACATGGTGAAATAATCACCGCAATCAAGCTAGTTCATATATCCATCATCTCAGATAGTATTTTTCTCCTTCTTCTTCTCCTTCTTCTTCTTCTTCTTCTTCTTCTTCTTCTTCTTCTTCTTCTTCTTCTTCTTCTTCTTCTTCTTCTTCTTCTTCTTCTTCTTCTTCCTCCTCTTCCTCTTCCTCTTCTTCTTCTTCTTTTAATTCTTAAAGAACAAGGATAGATTCAGAAGGCCCAGGTCTTTCCAGACCCTGTCGGTACTCAAGGAAAGAATGGTTTCCAAATTCCTTTGTAGGTTTTGCATAGCAGGCTCAAGCTACCTTCTTCAGGGAAAATTCTTTAAGTATTCTGGAAAGAACAGTCATCCCAAACCTCAGTGGAAAAGATTCAAACTATCCAGTGTAACAAGGATTAGGTGCTTAAATTCAGAGAGTTCCTAAAATGAAAATGTTTCTGTAGATAAGGATTAGTTATATGAAGAGACTGAACTGGAGTTAATCCTGGGTAGAGATGAGATTCAGGAGACTGGTCTTCATGAGGCATTTATCAAGGACCTGCAAAGGGACTCAGAGGTGAAGGAAGCACAGTCCTTTCCAGGCAGTTGTCTCTGGCCTGGGAGAAGGATGTCTTTCATACCCAGGATTCTCATCCAGAGTAATACATAGAGGGGCACAGGGGAAGAGTGTGTGAGGAAGGTTTGCAAGAGAGAGCTATCACATCAGAGAAGCTTCCTGACTAGGTGGTTTTGAGGAACAGGGAGGATTTCACCATGTGGAGGTGAAGGTAGCTTTTTGAGCTGGAGAGAAGAGCATAAAGAAAGACAGAGAAGAAGTACAGAGTAATTAGTGGTCCAGCAGGGATGGGACCTAGTCATAGAATCACCTCTGAGGGACCTCTACAGGGGAAAGGCTTAACTCACCATGAAGACCACTCAGAGGCCCTCAGGTGAGCTGGGTGATAGACCCCTACCAACACTCACAAGAGGCCATGTACTCCTAAACAAAGGGCAGGGCCTAGGGGAGAAGGTCTACAGACCTGGGTTTGCCTTCGAACTCTGCCACTTAATACCCGTGTGAGCTTAGGCATTCATTTAACTCTCTCAGGCTCAGGACCCAAGCATAAAATGAGGAGAATAATATCTTTCCTATGTACCTCCCAGGATTGGCATGAACATGAGGAAAAACAGTGGACACAGAATAGCACTGTCAAATACTTTCTGGTAGTTTGATATCTCACCATATATGTGAATCACCCCCAGAAATATTATTAACCTTTCATTGCTACTACATAACAAACTCTTGAGGCCAGGGACCATGTCTTCTTCAGGACAAGGAACATAGTATATGATTTTTTTGAAAAGGTACTTGATGAATGAATGAGTAAATGAATGAATAATGTTCAGAGCCCTCCAACTGGATAACAAAATTAATCTCTTAACTCCACTGAAAACCCATGGACTGTTCTTTCACTTTTGGGTTGTTTGGGCTGGAGGAGTCTCTAAGTTAGTTGTGATCAGTTGGTATCATGGTAGAGAAGGAAGCCTGTAAAGGTAGAGTCATGGACATTATCTGCGTAGAGCCCATAAGAGTTCCCATCCCCATACACCTGGAGCCAGACTTGGTCGCCCACTTCGAGATGGAGGAGCACAGAGCCAGAGGCCTGGTCCACATTCTTCTCCTGGTACTGGTCATAGGTGAAGAGTATAGCTTTGTCCTTCTTGTAGAGGCTGACCTTGACATCCTTCAAGTAGACTGTAATGTGGTAGGAGAAGTAGTACAGCCCAGGAATGTTGCAGTGGAATTTTCCAGTGGTGCCATCATAGTGGTTTTGCAGATTGTAGAAGATTTTGGTAAAGCGAATGGGAACATTGGGGACAGTGACCCGGCTCTCCAATCCCACACTGAATGCTGACCGATGTACATAGGCACTTTCTCCAGGTTCTCCTTTCCTGCCCGGGATTCCTGGAAAGCCTCGGGGACCTTCAACCCCAGTTACTCCGGTTTCACCAGTGTCACCCTTAGGACCAACAAGACCTATAGAATGACAAGACCTCAGTGACCATAAGGAACAGAACTACTGCCTAGGTTAGTTCTAACCTAAAACACTGTCCCTATGGACCTTACCCACAACCTGCCTGACTTATGGAGCAAGGAACCAAAGGGAGCTCCCAAAGAGGTGAGTTATACCTTCTCCTGCTCCACCCCCCAGCGGACTTCCATAAATTCATCTCCAACCTTATTTCCTAAAGGTCTCCATCATAGACCCTCCACCTTGCCAACCCTTTATATGCTGACTCAACCAACCCTACTTTTGCTCTTCTATCCCCTCTGGCCAGAATGCCCTCCCTCCTTTATTCTGTCTACCCATACTTCAAGGCCTGACTCAAGCCCTGCCTCCTCCTTAAAGCCTTCATTGCTAATCTAGATCTTCATTGAGAGCATTTTCTCTCTGTTCCATACGTTGGGCATTTGTCCACATTCAGTTAAGCATATTTGGAATCGACTTTCTTGTAGTAATCCTTAACAGCCTTGTGCTTTAGACTTATCTTCTTACCTACACCAAGAGTTCCCCAGGAGCAAGACTGTGAGCTACGAGGGTGCGTTGAGTGTAAATGCCACTGGGCAGAATGGGAGTTAAGTGAAAATGAAGGGAAACAATGTGAAGAGATTGGGAAGAGTGACGGATGAGGCGGGGATGGGAAAGGGTACAGGGACCATGATGTTGATAGAGCAGAGTCGAGGGTACTGGTTTTACAGGTACGACCTATTCTCATGACCAGAAGGCCAACCCAAAATTCACTTTGGGTTGCTTATGGATCACAAAAAAGAAAAATTGCTTCCTCCCTTTGTCTTGGCCTTTGTCAATAGCTAATGCCTTTGGATAGTTCCAGAAGCTCTCCTCTACCCAGGAGAAGTCTATGATGGAGGAAGCCAAAAACCTTGTTCTTACCTGGATCTCCTTTCTCACCCTTTTCGCCAGGGGTTCCATCTCTGCCGTCACGGCCTGGGGTCCCATTGTGGCCAGGATGCCCTGGGATGCCTGCCAACCAACCTGTGCAGGCCCCCTTGGCCAGAGGAAGCAGGCCTCCAGGCTCTTCTGTCACGGAGTCCTGGCCATGAGTGGGCAGGACTAGTAGCAGTAGAACAGCTCGTAGCAACAGCATCCTGAGCCCTGGAACCCAGATCCACATTGTCAGCCACGAAAGCACACACCACGCAACACACTCCATCTGGACCTACACAGGACTCGGGCCACCTCCACAGAGTCCCCTTCTGAGATCTGCTCTCTCGACACTCACATCTTCCAGAAGACTTGTCTATTTCCACCCACCTTGATCTCTTTCTGCCCTGAAATTTGCAATACTTAGCATTATTCTTTGTGTGTAATCTCCTTTCGTCAACAGATTGTGATTTTGGTGAGGGCAGGACAACACTCTTCCAACTGCCTCATATCTGAGCACAGGACCAGGCTCCTTGGGCCAAATACCGAGAGTCCATTTGTCAAGAATCTCTCCCTTGAGTTTTCCAAGGATGACGACTCAGATCATCCCCTTCAACTCTAACCAACTTCTCTCTCTCTCTCTCAGGCTCCTTCCTTTTTCTTCTCTACTTCCCTCCCTCATTTCTTTGTTTATTCCTCCTCTCTCTCTCTCTCTCATTCTCTTTTTTCTTCTCCCCATCTCTTGGATCACACGTTAGACCATTTGGTCTATTACACATGTGCGCACACACGTACACACGTGCATGCATACATATGAATGCACACACATATACACACAGTTACACAAAGCACACGCACATGCACACAGCCTTTCCCTACGTTAATCAGACAACCAGAGACACACTCTCTCATCAGGATGAGGACTGCTGGACAGTAGGACAGCAGGACTGCTGACACTTTGCCTGGGCTACCCTTCACTACACCTCCTCACCTGCCTGATCCCTCCACAGCCTTCAGGACCGAGTTGGGGTGTCTTCTCTCAGCAAGTCCTCCCTCTCCAATCTGAGTTCTTGGTTCCTCCTCTGCACACCCCCAGTGCCCTCGCTTACCTCCAGCGTCGCACTTCCTGCAGTATCCTGTAATTCCTGATTTCTTCATTCCTTTCCCCCCTTAAACTACAAGTACCAGGGGGCAAAGCCTAACATACTACCAGCACAAACTAGGGACAAAATAAATATCTTTCTAAGGGAGAAAAGAAAGAGCAAGAGAGCCAGAGAGAGGAGGGAAGGAGGGAGGGAGGAAGAAAAGGAGCGAGGAAGAGGGAAAGAAGGCTGGAGAGGGGAGGATATTGGAAATATGTATTCTGGGAGCCCCAGCAATAAAGCTCAATTGACACAGGTGGGCGGGGACATAAAATATATATACTGGTCCCCTCCCAGCTTCTGCCTCTGATATTAGGGTGATCTTAGTCCCCCACCTCTTGATAGCCAGAATCTTAGCCTCCCCAACTCTCTCTCACCAGGGAGTTGAGAGAAAACACCACAGAAAGGGGAATAGGTCCTAGGATCCGGGATCACAGGCATCACTAAGACCTTCTGTGGGCTTTGAAAGGTGCTTAATCCCATGAACCTGATTCTGAGTTAAACACAGTCCATGTGTATTTTTTTTACTCCAAAGACTCACTATTTTTCATCAGTCTGCTTGTCTCTCAAGAGTTATGCAAAGTCTCTAGAACTGGGTTTGGCTTCAGGAGACAGCTCCTCTGTGAGGGATGCGGGAAAGCCTCTGATTGGCAATTTTACCCCCAAAATGTGCGTGGTGTCTAGAATCCCACCTCTATGCCCCATCACCTGGGCTCTATAGTGCCCTCTCAATGGGACACAACCAACTCATCATTCATTCATTCATTCATATACGTTCATCTTTCATATATATATAGATGTAGATATAGATATACATACACATACACACACATGTATTCAATAAAATTAGTAACATAAGCACTTTGGAAACTATAGGAAACAAAAGGATCCCCAGTCTCAAGGCTTTCTCTGCTTACTTTTAAACATAATGAAAAACACACTTTGCATAGAAATTTTATTCCCCTATTTTTGCCTTGTCACTTTCTAATTCTCATAATCAGTATTTTAAATGTGTGTGTGCTAGTTCATCAAGTGGATATAGTCAAAATATACTTAACCATTTCTATTTTGTTGAAATTTTAGCTTTCTTCCACTTTAAAGTATTATTTTAAAAGCCATAACTAAGGGATGCCTGGGTGGCTCAGTCGGTTAAGCGGCTGCCTTCAGCTCAGGTCATGATCCCGGAGTCCAGGGATCAAGCCCCACATTAGGCTCCCTGCTCAGCAGGGAGTCTGCTTCTCCCTCTGCCCCTCATCCCACTCATGCGTTCGTGCCTGCTCTCTCTCAAATAAAAAATCTTTAAAAAAAAAATACAACTTTAGGGGCGCCTGGGTGGCTCAGTCATTAAGCATCTGCCTTCTGCTCAGGTCACGATCCCAGGGTCCTGGGTTCGAGCCCGGCATCAGGCTCCCTGCTCGGCGGGGAGCCTGCTTCTCCCTCTCCCACTCCCCATGCTTGTGTTCTCTCTCTCTCTCTCTCTGTCAAATAAATAAGGAAAATCTTTTTTAAAAAATCCATAGCTAATATCCTTGGTCATATAGCTTCCCAACTGATATTCTGTAATGGCGTATTCCCAGAAGTAAAATTACTGGGCCAAATGTATGAACATTTTTAAGGTTCTTTTTTTAAAAAAAAATATTTTTTTTAACTTATTTGACAGAGAAAGAGACAGCAAGAGAGGGAACACAAGCAGGGGGAGTAGGAGAGGGAGAAGCAAGCTTCCCGCTGAGCAGGGAGCCCAATGCGGGGCTCGATCCCAGAACCCTGGGACCATGACCTGAGCCAAAGGCAGACACTTAACGACTGAGCCACCCAGGCACCCCCATTTTTAAGGTTCTTGATATGTATTTCCAAACTGTAGTTTGTTACACTGTTACTAGGTAGTGTGTTAGTGTGTGTAAAAGACCCTATTAGCTACTCTCACCAGCAAAATTAAAAATACCTATTTTGGCTGTTGTTAGTTTAGTGAACAAAAGAAATGGCACCTTGCTACTTTGATCAATAGTGAGTTGTACATTTTATTAAAGGCCTATTTCCTAACTTAATTTCTTCATTCATGATACATCCATTAGTGTTTTTGTCACTTAAAATTTATTAGGGATACAATGTGCTTTTGAATCAATTTGTGTGAGCTCTTTATACGGACACTTTATCATATACGCCATGATTATTTTCTCTGGTAATTATTCTGTAGATTATTCCTTTGTTTACCCTGATTTTTTAAAAAATATTTTTTTAGGGGCGCCTGGGCGGCTCAGTCGTTAAGCGTCTGCCTTCAGCTCAGGTCACGATCCCAGGGTGCTGGGATGGAGCCCCACATCGGGGTCCCTGTTCCGCGGGAAGCCTGCTTCTCCCTCTCCCAGTCCCCCTGCTTGTGTTCCCTTTCTCGCTGTGTCTCTCTCTGTCAGGTAAATAAATAAAATCTTTACAAATATATATATATATATTTTTTCTTTATTTATGAGAAAGAGAGCGAGAGCACAAGCAGGGAGATGGGGAGAGGGGCAGAGGGAGGGACAGAAGCAGACTCCCCGCTGAGCAGGGATTCGATTCCTCAATCCCCGGACCCTGGGATCATGACCCCAGCCAAAGGCAGATGCTTAACCCACTGAGCCACCCAAGTACCCCTGTTTACCCTGATTTTTAAGTGACAGAAGTTTTAGTTTTTATAGTCAACTCTGTTGGTATTTTTCTTTGCTTCTAAGTTTTAAACAGTTCTTAGCCCTTCTAGGTCTTGGTAAATATTCTATTTTATTGTCTTCTATTGTTTGATATATTTTACATTTCACTCTTTAATTCATCTTCAATATTTTGTTTTGGTGTAAACTGTGATCTAAAATACTCAAATGATTTCTCTAGCTGCTTAAAGACACCTTTAGTTAACATGTCCTCTCTCTATTGAGCTGCTGCATCATTTAGTAAATACCAAGTTTTAATATGATCTAAGTAAGGGGCCCCTGGGTGGCTCAGTCGTTAAGTGTCTGCCTTCCGCTCAGGTCATGATCCCAGCGGCCTGAGATCCAGCCCTGCATCGGGCTCCCTGCTGAGCTGGAAGCCTTCCTTTCCCTCTCCCACTCCCCCTGCTTGTGTTCCTTCTCTCGCTGTGTCTCTCTCTGTCAGATAAATAAATAAAATCTTTAAAAAAAAATATGATCTAAGTAAAGTGAGAATTGAGAATGAGCTAGGCTGATAGAAGGAGGGGCAGAGAGACAGACCACAGAGCAACAGATACAGCCCCTTGGTGGTGGTGAATCTCTAGCCAAGGCGCCTCTTACCATCTACGTGTACCTTTGTCGCCCTCTACTGGATTTCAATGGCTCAGGAGGGTGAAGTCAACAGGGGCTGGAAATGAGACACAGCATAGGGCTTGGCTTGTTCCAAAATAAGAAGAAAGAGGTGAGTTAGATTAGAAGCCAAGGAGGAGAGACCAGCCAAGCCCCTTTTGTATTTAGGAAGAATACTTGTTCTGGAGCTTTTAAGACTTCCTATGCATTCAAAGTTTCTCAGTGTTTGTCACCTTCCTACTTTCTCCTTCTAGGGTTAGCTTTACAAGTCCTGAGAAGACCTCTGAGAGGTTGTGTGCTTGCTTTCTCCCAAAATGAGGAGGGCAGAATCTATGAGGCTGTGCTCTTTTCCACAGGGAGATAGGAAGAGAGAGTCCAGAACATGAGAATTGGTGGGGGCAACTACAGAGGGACCCAAAGATAGAAGGAGATTGGGGGCTTTCTCCAAACTGTTGGGGAGAGTGTGAAGTCAGAAGGTCTCTGGAGTTCTATGGTTCCTCCTCCTCTTTTAAAAGTCAAGATTCTCTTCTCCTAGCCCAAGGGAAGGCATTCTGTCCTCAACACTTCAGTATTATGGATGGATTTCTCCCCTGACAGGGACAATGAGTCTGGGTTCCATGACAGTGGCATGGGGTGGACGTACTGAGATGAGGGGTCGGGGGAAGATGGGTACATGATCCTCGGAAGTTTCTGATGCTAACAACAGATTCTGATTGCAGAAGAAAGTTGTCTCCTACCTAGTTCTGGGTGGAAAGATCAGCAACGGATAACAGCTGAAGGTCAGTGCAGAGGTGCCACTTTCAAAAAAAAAAGTATTCCAAAATTATTTGTGCTCTTTGTTTAGAGAGGGTAATTGTTACACTTTGATTTGGAAAGACTTCTATTTCTACAGGGGAAAACATTATTAAATGAAACTGTAATCGAAGACTCAATGGTGCCTATGAAGAAAACTTTTACATGGAAATGAAGCTAAACCCCAAGTTCCACCCATAATTCTGTTTTTGCCGAACCCATTTGTAAAGTCCTTACCTCACTTAATGTTTCATTTAATCCTCACAACCATTTTGAGAGACAGTGTGAAGTAGAACAGGGTCATGTGCTCTGTGATCTTAGTGCTTGGGTGAGAATAATTTGTTCTTACCTGTAACATGTGTCAGTCATATATTTGTTGGAGGATTAAGTGACATAATCCATTTAAAATACTTAGAACAGTGCATGGCACATGTCAGTGCTTAATAAATGTTAGCTCTGCCTGTACCCACTTTAGAGAGGAGGAAAGTGAATTTCAGGAAAGTTATGTGACCTGTCCGAGATCCTAGAGCTTTATTTTTTTTAAGATTTTTATTTATTTATTTTTGCGAGGGATAGAAAGAGAGAGAGAGAGAATGAGCAAGGGGAGGGGCAGAGGGAGAAGCAGACTCCCCGCTGAGCCGGAAGCCGGACTAGGGACTCAATCCCAGGGCCCTGGGATCATGACCTGAGCCGAAGGCAGACACTTAACCGACTGAGCCACCCAGGTGCCCAATCCTAGAGCTTTTAAATGTAGGGGAGCTGGACAATAAAATTCTGGTCTTCCAAAGCCCAAAACTATGCACTCTTAGGCATAGTTCAGAGGAGGAAAAAAAAAAAGCATCAGGATCACACATCTGCCTTTTCATATTACACTGCATGGGATGGGGGACATAAGTGAAAATAGCTTGAGAAGCCCTCCAGATTATGATGCATGTGCCCTGGCTTCTAGTCTAGGCTCCACCATGAACACGCTGGGTGATTTACGTTCCTCCACCTCATTTCCCAGATCTCCTGCTCTTTGCCTGCAAATGTGATTATTAATGCTATTAATCCTTACCTAGCCTATTTCACAAACTTATTGTGAGAATCAATTGACTAAAAGTATGAAGTATTTTATAAACTTCCACATATATCAGTGAAGAGAAGGAAAACTAGTAAATATTTATGGACCACCTGCTACAGACCTCCACTGTACATTCACTTACCCTTTCATCTCATTTCACCCCTACCACTCAACTCCCGCAAGAGAAATCCCAGGACCAGAGAGGATTAGTAACTTCTGCCCATGCATAACAAGGAAAAGAGTGCAGGGGTGTAATTTAAAATCCAAAGCCCAAGTTCTTTCTACTGCACCGGCTTTCCTGGCACACAGTATATAGGCATTATTCACTAACTATGAGGGGATGGCCACCATGTTCTCTGGATCCTAAAGGGCCGTATTATGATCTCTCATTTTCATATGTTAAAATATATAAGAAATTCCACTTTGACCTGCTGGGATTTCAGTAACAACAGCAGAATCTTGTGAAATGCAGGATGAGGTCTCCTTTGGGACTGGCAGGAAACAGAGCATTAGGCGGGGGAAAGTCACCAAATCTGGTGCCAAGTCTTCCAGCGGGAGAGGGCACTTAAAGCACAGATCACTAAGTCCCTGAGAGCCAGAATGGACCCCCGAAATCATGTCACCCCTGTCCTGCTTTTACAAATGGAAAGTTAAGGAGAAGGAAAGGATGCATTTATTAGATCCTCATAGAGGCCAGCTCCCATACTAGGAGCTTTTACCCATTATTTATTTTATCTATTATTTATTTTAATCTTTATGAGAACTCCATGAAGCAAGGAAAACAATCCCAACTTTAGAGATGGGGAAAGTGAGAGATTAAGGACATGACCCCTGAGGCTTGGTTGTTCTACTTCCAAACCAGTAAGCTTGGATCATGTTACACAGCCTCTAAAAAGCCTTCTCATAGTCAACTTCCTAATCTGCTAAATACGATCACATAAGATGAGGGACGTGAGAACATTTTGAAATTAGCAAGGGTACGTTGGAGTAGAAATTGCATAAGGTACTTTCAAATGTTATTTCATGTAACCTCCCCCATAGCCCTGCTCTTGATTCCGCTATAGGGAAGAATCTAAGACTTGAAGAGACCAAGATGCTGGCTTAAGATCATGCAACTCTCAGTAGAAGTGCTGAGCAGCTGGGAAGGGGAAAAAAAAAAAAAAAAGATCATGCCACTCTTGTGGGTTCTATGAAATTGCCATTTTTAAAGGTTAAAAATGGTAGAATATTAGCAATTTCACATGGTACAACCTAATGATGAATGACAGAATCAGGAATCAACTCAATTCTGTCCGGCTCCCAGGAGGATTACCTGAAAACTTTCACTCAACCCTAGGAGAGCTGTCAGCATCCCCACACCCAACACACACACACACACACACACACACACATGCATGCACATACACACACCTGCATAGATTCTCAAGGAACTAGTAAAGCAGAACATCCCTCCAATCCACATTTTTGGGATCATTCTCTCTTCATGTGAAAAAATTCCTGATTGAAAACTTCTACTCTCCAAAGCTACTACCTGCTGACCTCAGCCAAATGGGACCACCAATCTCCTGTTTTGACAAGGAGTCAGTGGAAATTTTCCCCACAACCACCTTAGAAAGGACAAGAAGCAAGTCCTGTGTCTCTCTTTACAACTCCTTAAGAACTAAGGGAGGGAGGCAGCAAGGACTACCAGTTAAGCTGCTTCTACTTCTCTGCTTCAAGAACAAAGCTGACACCCTCATGCTCCTTTGGGCATATTCTACCAGCATAAAGGGCTGCCCTGCTTCCCCACCTTATCCGGAGGACCCCACCTTACCGCTAATAGAGGGAGTCACCAGGAGTGAGGTAGCTGCATCCCTATGAAGCTTGATCTGAAACCAGAACCTCTCCAGACCAGGAACCCACATCCACTGACACAGGAGGGCTGGACTGATCTCTAAAATCCTTCCCACTCTGACCTCTGCCTCTACACTGAAAACAACCAGATGCCTCAGGCGTAGCACTCCCTGGTGTGAACAGGATTGGGCTTGGCAAAGGCCAGGCAGACCCACTGGTTTCTGTCAGAAAATGTCATCTAAAAATAAGATTTCCCTAAGTTTTCAGTATATCCCAAGCTCACTTTATCTCATTTGAATGTCTCAATCATCCTGTGAAATATCCCCACATCTGTGTGGATAGCCCCATATTTACAGATTCCCTCAAATCCAGACAACGATTATGTCTCACTCGTCTTTCTATCTCACTAACTCTACCCAGTGTCTGGCCTTATAGAATCTGCTCAATCAGTATTTGCTGAGAAGAATCAACTGGTGGAGCTGGGTTCCAGACTCAGCCCGAGGTCAGAGCTCAGGCTTTCCCCAAGCTGCCTTTCCATCTGTTTTTTTCTTTGCCTACCTGGTCAAGCTGAGAAGTGAATTATTTCCTTCTCTTCTTATTTAATTGAACTCTATCACTGGGCCATCCCTCTCTTATCATTGATCCCAACCTTTTCTCTGGGTAGGCATCTTGCCACAGAGTGAATTGGTCAAAATTCAAGATGGCCCCAGCCATTTTGATCAGAGAAACAGCTCTTTTTCTCTTTGAGCTGTGGGAGAATCAAGGAAGAAGCCCAAGGCCTGTCTGCCTCCCCCAGTGTTGCCCTGGCCAGAGTTTTGCCTGTACCCATCTGTACCCTGCTATGACAAGAGAGCCTGGGCAAACCCAAGCCAGAAGCTCCATTGCAAGGCAGCCACCCCCACCTCCAGCCTGGAACTGTAATCGACTTGTTCTTACCCTCAGGTGTAGAATCAGACCCACAAACTGCAGTCAGGATGGAAATGAGATGATCCAGCCTCTGCAGCCTGGTACTCAAGGGGGCAGGCAGTCCCCACCCCACAGTTGTCCCTTCCCATTGGCCAACCCTGTGAGGGCCAGAGGCCAGTGGGTGGGCACCTTGCCCCTGGCAACTGCTTCAGGTCTCCACTCTGGGGAACCTGCTATGACCCCCATTAGGCTTGGGAAGCCAAGTGGATCCTCAGTCACAGCACTCACATTCTCTTGGCTCTTACGTTTGCTTCCTACAACAACAAGAGAAGATGGGGCAAGGGTGAAGTCCAGAAAAAGGAAAACAAGCCATCTCTGCATCTGAGGGAGAAGCTTCCTCCTATAAAATGAATTGTCTAGTGGTCCAGGAGACCCCCCTTTCCCATAGATTTGCCGTAATAAGTCAGTGACACCGATCAGCACCACCACCACCATCACGCTCCTGCTCACTGTGCATGACCAAGTGTAAGATAGTGTGGTGCAGACAGAGCACTTCAGAAGGGGGAATAGTCAGAGGGGCAGCAATAAAACAAGAAATAGAACACATCCTCCGCTCTGGCCTAGACCCCAAATTTGAGGAAGACTTTGTGTGTTAATTCTGAGAACCGAGGCAAAAGGAAGCTCCTGGGGTGGCGTGGGGCCGAGCCAGAGTAAGACCTTTAGAGGCCCTGCACTCCAAAAAGTTATGGAGCTCCCAACACTATGTAATTCAAATTCGACATAACAGAAAACTTCCATAAAATGTGATATTAGAATACCATCTCTCAAGATTTTCTGATTCTAAACTTCCAAATAAGGCTTTAAAAGCTAACTTTTTGTGGGTATGTGAGCCCTCATTTTGCCAGACCCTTAAGCATATTGCCTACTCTATCTATTGGGGAGCCCAGCTCTGTGCTGGGAGCAACCTGGAGGACCGGCGGCTGCCACCCATATAGGTGTTCCTAGAAGGCTGAGGCTTGAAATGGCAACTTTCATCACCTTGTATTCTTTCTTGGCAAACCCATGTTTTGTTTTTGAAACTCAAGATCAGAGCTAGTTCCTGCAAGCCACAAATTCTGAGGCATTAAATCATGACCCCAGCAAGGGCTCAAGATCCCAGCAATAGCTTCTATAAGAAGTTCAGAAACAAAATGTTCTCAGACAGAGGCCGGGCAAGTATATGCCTGCCCCCAAATATCACCTCTGCTGGCCACACAGAGCCTAAAAGTCCACAGCAAAGTAAAGTAAAAGTCTGATATAAGGCCTTGGCCTTCGGGTGATATGCACATTTTCTGGAGAAGTCACATTAGGCCTTTGAGATTGGAGTCATGAATCCCTTTCCAAGGGCCCACTGGCTTAGATAAGGGGCCAGGGAAAACAAGGTTTAATACAGTTTACCAGGTAGGTTGGACCAAAGAGAAAACACAGAGAAACTACAGCTACTTTCAATCAGCTTACATCACTGTGTTGTTTTTATTGTGGCATTTTCTTATTTACTTTTGGTTTGTGTTACTATCGGTCTCTCCTTACTACGATGGGGACTTCATGAGAATAGGTGCTTTGCCTGTCTGCGTTGTATCCCCTGGCCCCTAGAATATGATCTGGTACAAGTTGGGCAATAAAAAATGTTCTTTAGCTATGGCTGTCTTGTATTTTACAAATAAAGCATCTGGAGTTCAGTGAGGTTAAGTGGCTTGTCCAAAGTACAGATCTAAGATTTGAACCCAGATCTGACTACAAAACTAGTATGCTTTCTAATACCTCATGTCTCTTACTTCTCCTGATGGACTGGGAGACCCGAGGATTCACATTTGCACTCCAGCGTAGCTTTGTGGTTGGCAAAAAAAAAAAAAAAAAAAAGTATTTTCTCCCGACTTTATGGGAACACTGCTGGTTACAGCAAGCTTTAACTGTTGCACAAGGTGGAATGACTTTAGCCCCCATAACACACCAAGACTGGGCTGGGTCTGGTTGTCAGCCAGTGACATTGTGAAAGCCTGTCATTTTGAGACCTCAGGGAAATCTGCCATCTGCCACAAAGGTCACCGTGTGGAAAGAGGCAATTCCTTGGCATACTGGCTTAGAGAGTGTAACTGAAAAGCATTCAGCCAGGAGTGCCTTGAGGCTCGTCTTTTTTCCCAGGACAGAACTGTTACTACCTAGAGTGAAATAATCAAATAAATGTGATCATTTCCTCCGGGGTATGAAGGCTGCAGTTCAGTCCCCTGTCAGCTGGTGAATGGGGATATTAAAACAGCAGGCCACATGACTAAGTTTCCCATAAGTGTGGCTAAATATCGCCATATATTTTTGCTTAGTTGTGATTTTTAAAACATAATCTTAATTGAAATAATGTAACATAATCACTAGATTTTGAAAAATAATCCAGAATATTGGAGCAAGACGGCAGAGCAAGCACACCCTGCAGCCTTCTGCTCCATCCCCAAATCCCTACAAATGGCAAGAAAGGAAAGCCTCTTGGCTATAAAAGGAAAAAGAGTTGGCTATAATTGCACTTCATCCAAGGCAACCTCAAATACTAATTTAAGTATCTGTTTTGCCACTCATGCTTTGGACTACTAGTAATGCGCTTCCATTGGCAAGGAGCCCAGTTCTGATAAGCAATCCTAGATTCATATCTTTGAGAACCTCTGTCCTGGGACCATCCCTGCTATCCAATACTGTTTGAGTTGAAGAATTTCCCACAATAATTTTGGAAATGCTGGAGAAGCAAAGGAAAGGAGATGGTGTTGCCCAGAGATCAGGAAAAGGCCTCTGTCACTGGGTCATAGCCTGTAAGCCTACACTCGGTGTCTGTCCCTGCTAGAGGCTCCACGACTGTACCAAAGAGCAGCCAGGGCCGCTGACACTGCCAGGGACGTGGCCAGAAACACAGTAGCTTCTCTCTTTACCCCTTTTGATCTTACACAACTGTCTCCCCTCTGCAGAATCTCACTGGAGCCCTTTCAGCAAGGGAGTCTAGGATCTGTCATTTCAGACCCACAGCTTCAGGAATAAAGGGGATTATTTAAAAATGGATACGGGGCTAAGTACCAACAGACATAATCTGACCACAGTTTCAACAAATAGAAGAATTTACACCCAAGGAAACAAAGCTAATAGCCGAAAAAGGGGGTAAAACTTAAGAATAAGTGTTATAGTGAGAGAGATGACAGGAAATGGCATACATAAAAATAATTTGTGAATTTTCTGCCTTCATAGGAGGTGAAAATAATTTTCTCTTCCTTAAGTCACCAAGTTTGTGGAAACTAATACAGGGAAGTAGAGCTAGGGAAAGAGTTCTTACAGATGACACCAAAGGCATGATCCATTAAAGAAAACAATGGAGATTGAGATTCTACCAAAATTAAAACTTTTGCTCTGTGAAAGACCCTGTTCAGGGATAAAAAAGCAAGCTATAAGCTGAGACAAAATATTTGCAAACCATATATCTGACAAAGGATTTGTATCTAGATTGTATAATGAACTCTCAAAACTAAACAACAACAAAAAATCCAATTAGAAAATGGGCAACAGACATGAAAAATATTTCATAAAATAAGATATATAGAAGGGGGAAAGATGGAGGAGGAGTAGGGGACCCTATTTCAACTGGTCCCCAGAATTGAGGTGGATATCTACCAGACCACTCTGAGCACCCACAAAACCAGCCTGAGATGTAAGAAGATCTAGATCTCTATAAACAGAATATTGCAGGCGGTTGGTTTTGAGGTGCAAAGTGGGGAGCCATGATTCCGCGGGCAGATATCGGAGGATAAACGGCAGCAGGAGGTTGCCTGGCCGTGGGGATCCTACACCACCAGTGAGCAACAGCGTCACACACTGGGGACGGGCACAGACTCGCTGACCGGTAGTGGGGGGGGGGAGGACTCTAGGGCAGCCCCCGGGGTGGAAACCCGGAGCGGCCGGTCCCGCGTGCGAACTGGGAGCGGCTGGCAGTTTTAGAAGCACAAAGGGCAGAGATGTGCCCCAACCTGGAGGCAGGACCGGGAGCGCTGCGGAGGGGCGCACAACCCAGGACGCTGTAGTTTATAGCAGCACGGACAGAAATGCAGATGGTGTGGCCTGGCGAGCTCACTGAAGAACAGACTGAGGTCTCTCTGCTCTGAGGCAGAGGGTTGGAAACGGTCTCTTCTGCTGTGACTCGCGGAAGAGACACGGAAAGCCACCAGGGAAAGGCGCCAGAGAACAAAAGCCCCAAAAACTGATTCCCGCTGAGCCCAATCCCCGCCACAGGGGCGCAGGGCAACTCCACCCAAACAGGGTTGCCTGAGTAACAGCGCGGCAGGCCCCTCCAGCAGAAGAAAGGCTGGGAAAAAAAGAGGCCAGCAACCCTAAGGTCTCAAGAAAACAGGTGCATCTTGCTTGGGTTCTGGTCAATAATTTGGACTCTATACATTCCCTCAAACATCCATCAACAGAATGACTAGGAGAGGGAGCCCCCAAAATAGAAAAGACTCAGAGATTATGACTTATGCTGCAGATTTACAAATGGATGCAGATATAACCAAGATGTCGGAGATGGAATTCAGGCTAGCAATTGTGAAGACAATGGCTAGAATGGAGAAATCAATTAATGGCAACATAGAGTCTCTAAGGGCAGAAATGAAAGGTGAATTGGCAGAACTTAAAAATGCTATCAATGAGATCCAATCCAATCTAGATAATCTAAGCTAGGGTAACTGAGGCAGAAGAGTGAATAAGCGACCTGGAAGACAATATAATAGATAAAAAGGGAAAAGAGGAGGCCAGGGAAAAACAACTCAGAATCCATGAAAATAGAATCAGAGAAATAAGTGACACCATGAAGCGTTCCAATGTCAGAATAATTGGAATCCCGGAGGGAGTGGAGAGAGAGAGAGGACTAGAAGATGTATTTGAGCAAATTGTAGCTGAGAACTTCCCTAATCTGGGGAATGAAACAAACATTCGAGTCCTAGAGGCAGAGAGGACCCCTCCTAAGATCAAGGAAAACAGGCCAACACCCCGGCATGTAATAGTAAAACTTGCAAATCTTAGAACCAAGGAAGTTCTTAGGGGGAAGAGATTCCTTACGTACAGAG